CCCCCCGCACACCTAAAATTTAGCTCAAAGGCCTTTGTCAACCTGATTGGCTAAGTTTGCCACCCCCACTCAAACTGAGCAGGATAATACCCAAGGCGAGCGCGAATGGTCCACCCAAATTTAAACTCAGTCTGATTTGCGTGGAGCACTCGATGGATGATGGTTTTTGTTTCTTTGTGACCAACAACTTCTAACTATTGTTTAAATTTGTGTCATCATAAACACAGCTTCAGAGTTTGTTGTTGATGTTGTTGTTGTTGTTGCCGATGCAAAGGAGAGGAGATTTAACGAATGGGTGGGTCTGTATCACACTTGGTGTGGCATCAAAAGAGTTTAAACACATCACATGATGATCGTACCTAATTTGATTGGATCGGTTCATCAAACCAAACAGCTCTTTCAAACTCATTAATCGTCGCTGAATACTGTATAAATAGCTCGAACTATTATAATATCTTTTGGTTTGAATAAGGTTTGTTGTGGTTTTATGATTAGGGTGATGATTAATTAGAGGTAATTGATAGTTTGATTGTTTGTTTGTTTGTTTGATTGTTATACACTTAGAGTAATATAAATATATATAAACATACAAATTGATGAGATGTTGTTCATATGATTGTCTTGTTTGTGATTGTGTAATTTTGAATTAAAATGGTACAAGACTGACCAGATTGGGTCCAATGGGGCGGACCACAAAGATATTTCTTTTTGATCAAAAATATCATCACAGATTGTTAACCATCTTAAGATGGAGGCGACAAGTTGTTTAAAGGACGCACAATTGTATCGTATCTACCTTCGTACACCATTCACAATACAATCGTACTAAACAATATTATTGTATTATTTCATACAAATAACAATCTAATCTATTAATCAATCAATCAACGATGATGATCAAAATCATAATTGCAATTACTCTGTTGGTGGCTCTCTCCAATGCTGCCGGACCTGTTGTACCATTTGCCTATCCACTCTACAAACAGGTATGATCCTTGATCACTCCTCCTCACACACACACACAAACACTGGAACTATTCCACTAACCACTATCAATCAAACAAACAAACACAGTGTGACCCAAGGTGGGGCAATGATATCATTGAGACCACAACTGTATGTGATGTAGGTTGTTTGATGAGTTCAATCTCGATGGCCATTGCTGGTCATGGTATTGAGATCGATGGACAGTCATCAAACCCTGGCACCTTGAACTCTTGGCTCAAGTCAAATGGTGGCTACACCTCTGGTAACGATTTGATCGAGAGTGTTGTGCCAGGCATCTCATCGGACATCAAGTGGGACGGCCCCCTGCTCAATGGCACGGCACTCTCTATGGATGACATCAAGAACCTGCTCAACAAGAAGGACATGATCGTCATACTCAACGTTGACAATGGTGGACACTTTGTCCTGGCCACTGGCTACGACAGTGGTGACACCAAGATCTACGTCAACGACCCAGGTTTCTCCAGACTCTACTATGAGTACAACACTGTTGTCGGTTACAGATTGTTCCAAATGCAATAAACAATTGATAGAGTGTATACTTTGGAATCATTCCAATCAATCATTCCAATCAATCAATCAATGTTATGTTTTTGAGTAACTATGGCTTTGATTTATTTTCTTTGGAAGGTTGCAGTCCACCATTGTGGGACGCTTAGTATCCTCCACGACCACGGCCACCTCCACGGCCACCACCAAAACCACCTCNGCGGCCACCACCACGGCCACCACCGCCAAAGCTGCTTCCACCACGGCCACCGCCGCCGCCTCCACGGCCACCACCAAAGCTGCCACCACGGCCGCCACCGCCAAAGCTGCCACCACGTCCACCTCTTCCTCTTGGTGCACCACCACGAGCGCCACCGCGACCGCCAGCAGACTTGAATCCAGTCTTGGCCTGAGCAACCTTTCTGTTTAAGTTGATTGATTGATTGATCAATGTTAGTATACTGGGTGATGATGATGGTTGTGATTGATCACATGTTTGTGTGCTCCATGATTATAGGATGACATACGGCTTAGGCTCTTCGATAAATGTCCTCAGTGGCAACAGTGAGTATGGATCACAGTAAATCTTGTCGTCTACCTTGAAGGTCGATGCTTGGACACCAGTGTCCAATTTAACGTTGAAAAACTATATATATCGAGTTGATTGATTGATTGGTCGATCATATGATTGATGATTGATGGATTGGAGTTGATAGAGATTTGGTCAGCATGGTGGTCTTGGTCCTGGTCCTTGGTGTCCAATCACATGATTGATCGCGATCCATTCATGAACCTGTTGCTGTGCCAGTCTGCAAGATACTTACGACTTTATCGATTGGACCAAAGATCTCGTCGACTTGACCCAACCTTCTGTTGGTTCTCTGTGAACACCCGGCAGTTGACCTTTGGAATATCACTATGAGTAAATCCTCAAAACGATGGTCTCTTCGCTTGGATGTGTGAATGCTCCAAGCCTCTATATATCCTTTGATTCGATTGTATGTGTCAGTCATTATTATCCCGTGAATGTGATGTGAAGTCGCGGCATCTGTCCTCCTCCAAAGTGTCTATCTTTGTGCTGTGCTGTGCCGTTGAAATGAATGAATGTATGATGATTCCTTACCAATGACAGTATCTGGGATGGCATCTCTGTCACGGGGGGCACCGCCGCCATATCCGCCACGACCACCACCGCCAAAGCTGCCGCCACGGCCTCCGCCAAAGCTGCCACCACGGCCACCGCCGCGTCCGCCTCTGTCACCGCCTCCAAAGCTACCTCCTCTTCCTCCTCTTCCGTATGATGACATGTCTGTGTGCTTGGTTTAAAATAATGTAAATATAATATAATATATATCTATCTATTACAACAAGCTTTTTAGAGTTGGTGGTGGATGATGGATGATTCTCGCTTTCGACTCACTCATCAAAAGTAATTACTTCGTCTCGTCGTGCTCGTTTGGACTTGTTAACAAAAATTAAAAAATATTCATTCATGTGAGAGTGTGGAAAGCGAGTCCCGCACACTGGTTGATGATTAAGGTCAATCCAAATGGTAACGTTGCTTCACTTGATCAATGATCTGGACTATCTTTGAATGTTTGGATGTGAGTTGAGTACAACTTTTGTTGTTTGTTCAAGAAGTAGTACTTGGTCTATATATATATATCTACAACAATAACTTTGAGATTTTCGCAATTCCAATCAACAACTCTGATCATACTTGAATGGTAACTGATCAATCACAGACTGGAATAATCATTGAACACAAAACCAACCAATAATAATAATAACACTACCAAATATATACCTCAATAATAATAATAATAACATCTCTCTAGTATTGATCAATCAATTCAAATCAATTTCAAAAAAGGACAATTTGGAGTCAATCAAATAACTTGGGTATCTTTGGCAAAGGGTGGGTCGTCTTCACTCACTTTGAATTTATTACTAAAACAGTGAAACAAACCCACCAAACTTATGTTGTGTGTATGGAAGATCTGACTGTGAGTGTGTGGGGGTTTGGAGATGAAGGCATGCTGTGAAGACAAGACATCGCATCCTATCATCCCTCCTCCCTACTCCCTCCCTTCCTCTATTTATTTAATCTAGAATCTCCACTTTATTATCTTTATTTAATTGTATACATAGTTGTAATTATAGAATCTTTATTACTTTACCACCCACCCATTAACATTATAAATAACATCTAAGAAGAATGACTCTCAAGGTTGATTTGTTCACATCATCTGCCACCGGCATGCTGAAGATCAAGAAGGATCAAAGTGCACTTAAGACTCTTTTGGAGGCCAAGGGCATCAAGTACAATGGTATGTTTAGTGTGAATTGGTTGATTGATTGATCTTCATAGATTGATTGAAATTGAATGCATGTTCACTTACAAACGTCATCTCTCTCCTAAATGCACAGAGTACGATGTCGCCTCTGACACTGAGAAGAGATTGTGGATGAAGGAGACAAGTGGAAAGACTGAGTTGCCACAGGTAACTATACTAGTTGGATGATGACCAGTCAGCTTGGGCAGACCCATGTTGTACAACATTATACTAATTCCTCATTCCTCGCCCGCCCCTTACTCACTCACTTTCTCACTTACACTAGTTGTTCGTCAATGACAAGTTTGTTGGCAACTACGACGATCTCCAGGAGCTTGAGGAGGGTGGAATGTTCATGGACCTCTTCAAATAAACAGCACGCGTAGATCTGGATCACTCTCTTATCTCACTGCCATAATCATAACCAAATCAGACTCATCGTTGTCATCATCATTATAATCATCGAAATATCGACGTTGGATTAGCTGATTACATTCTTACTCTTCTGGTTTTATTACATCACTGCTACCCTGCTACTGTTGCGTCGACGGCAGGTAGTTCAGTCCACTCCAATCATTCCCTATTGGAGTGACTTATGGTACATATACTTCAGCTTGTCTTGAACCGGCTTTGGATGATAAATAATAATAATAATTAATGTTGTTGGATGTTGGATGTTTGGATTTTTGATTGATGGATGATGATAACGGATGCTCAATCTGATAGATCCACTGCATCTTCGTCTTCAAAGCTATCATTGTCCTCGTCCAGTGTTGATCCGGATGTCGAGAGGTTGGCATTCCTCATCGTCTGTCCATTATAAATAGGTGATGTTGGTGATGTTGGTGAAGTTGGCGATGTACTACTGCTCTGTACAATGTTGCTATAGTAGTTGGTATTGTTGTTGTTGTTGATACTGCTACTGCTTGTTGAGTTTACTAGTTCACTGATGTTGTTGTTGCTGTGGATTGTTGGCGACCTGGTCTGCTTGGGAGGCGGCTCAAACACTGCTGGCGGACCGCCAAAGATCTTTTCAAAGTTCTGGATCATTGTGGAGATGACCATGTTGCCCAGGGCAATGTCCTCGACGACAATGTCCACCTGCGACACCAAGATGTTTGGACCGACCACCGTGGCCAGATTGGCCGGACCCATCCTATTCTTGCCATTGAGCGATATCTGATTGAGCAGGTGCATAAGCGAGTGCAGCAGGTTGTAGTTGTTCTTGGGCAGCGAGTGCACCAGCTTGGAGATCTTGTTGACACGCTCCTCCACCGACTCGATGTTGCACACGTCGATAAACTCGTTATAGCGGTTGTAGGTGAGCAGTGGCTCGGGCTGCAGCTCGCGCAGGAACAGCTTGACCAGGTTGCACACGACGTGCACGTCGAACGTGTTGGCCAGGTTATACTCCTTGCCCTCGTCTATCAGGCGCTTGTACTCGACCACCTCCTTCTTGGGGCCAGACATTCTGAACAATCCTTCCTCGTCCATCTTGTTGCGAATCACCTGGAAGGCGCATGACACGAACGCAGGTATTGGCGCCTGGTCGCGCGTCACCAGCACGTTGAGGTCCTCGCCAAACACCTTGTTGCGCAGCGCTTCGGGCTTGACCGACGGCGAGAGCATCATGCTCATGCGCACCTTGGACTTCTCCAGCTCGGACTTGCGCTTCTCCACGTACAGTCTGTACTCGTAGACGTCGGGGATCATCTGTGCCAGCCAACGGTAGCCCTTCTGGAAGAAGGTGTGATAGCTGTCGAGGTAGTCGCAGAGCTTCTCCACCGTCTCAAACTCTGAGATGATGTTGGTGTCCTGCAGTTGAGTCCTGGTCTCGAGGCCAATCAACTCAAACTCCTTTCCAAGCTTATCACACTCTTGTTCCTGCTCCGTAATCTTGGTAGGCTTCACATTCTTTGTCTTCTTCAAGTTGCTCAACTCACTCAATGATGCATCATATCCTACACGTGACTTGTCATAGTCTCGCTTGGCCTCCTGTACTCATGTCATTGATTTGGCCGCGTCAGTATATCATGCTCCTCACTCATTCATTCTCGAGATGACTTCAACATACCTGTGCCTGCTTCAACTCTGTCTTGACCATCTTCTTTAGTGGATCGCTGACATCGTTGATTAGTGATGAGTCTAGTTTGGCCTTCAAATCTTCAAAGCCAGCCTGGAACTCTCCAATCTTTGAAAGTATACCCGAGAGAATAACCATGTCTGGATAAGTATCTCTAACATGTACACTATAGTCTATGAAGTTATCCGCAAGTTCTGTACCATCCTGTATGCTCACTATATAGATTGATCGTTGTTAGTATAATGTGTCGAGTCGCCAACATCATTGATTGATTGATTGAATGATCATACCTCCAGTGCTGACGGTCTCCTTCTCAATTGCTTTGGTGAGCTTCCTCAAGTAGAATCTACTCTCTTGTACATGCTAAATATAGTTTGTTAATCAATGTCAGCATGAAGTTGATTGATTGATTGAATGAATGAATGAACGAATGAATGATCATACCTTTTCAAGCTCCTTCATCTCTTCAGGCTCAAGAGTATTCTCCCTGTTGGCAGTCTTCTCCATCACATTCTGTTTGGCAATGGCGAATGATTTCTTTAGTTTCTTCATTTCTTTAGTTCTTTCTTCTTCTGTTTGTTATACAAGTAATAATAAGTATAAGTATAATGAATGATTGAATGATTGAATGAATGAGTGAATGAATGAATGTATGAATGAGATCAAAGAGTTAGATATGAAATGGCCCCAAAACCCCTTGATGTGGTTGTTTTTGGGTTTGTCCCTGGCTGTTTGCGAGCCATGTCGTCTACCTTTTCGTGCACGACTCATCACCCATTTGATTATTTGGGGATTCTATTCATTACCAACTACTCAGTGCCAATGCCAAAGTACAAAGTATACAATAGTTTAGTTTGACCAAGCTTGGTAGGTCTTAGCCTCAAGCTTTATATATTTATATTGATGAGTTGGAAACTATGTGTGATCGATTGATCGATCACTTGCGACATGATCTTAGGGCAAAGAAATCGATAGAGTTGTGACCAAGTAGTGATCGCTCATACTCCATCAATTGGTGAAGGAATCCACTGTTGATATTGATGCGTGGTATATTCTTGGCAACTGTTTCATAACTCTCTCTAAGCGTCAACTTCAATCTCTTCATACCATATGCCACTGCAATCGATGTTGATCTACTGCGTCCCTCGCGACAATGTATCAGTACGCCACATCCTCCGGCTCCATTATCACTACCATTGCCATTGCCATTGCTATTGCTAATGCTGATACCATTGTTGCTGCCACTGATACTGCCAATGTCGGTGCCATCTCCACTGCTATTATTGCTACTTCCAGCATAGAAAATACAACTAAAAATGCAAAAAATAATGCCACTGTCACTTCCACTACCAATGCCACTGTTACCTCCAGCATGCTGACCATCATTCACACCAATGGATTGACTGAGACCTCTGTCAATGAAGTCAACGGCCTCGTCAAAGTGCAGACTGATGGGTTGATCGATTGAATCGGACACACTGATACGCATGAAGTTGGTGTTCTCACCCAACTCCTTGGGCTGTCCAATCTCTTTGGTGACGTTCAGTATCGATCTGATGTTGTTCTGACTCAGCCACTCTCTGTTGGACAGGCATTTCTTGCCACCAACATACAGCTTGGGCACTGGCATGGGTACGGGCACAGGCAAGGACAAGGGCACAGGTTCTGGCACTGGCACAGGTTGGGTGGTACTGTTGTCACTGGTAGTAGCGACGACAGTAGAGGCACCGACAGTAGTGGCGCCGACAGTCGTGGCGCCGGCGAATGCCAGTGAACCTATTATACCACTCTCTTCATCGAGTTGTTGTTGGCTCTTTAGCGGCAGCGAGGGTGCCAGAGTTGGGTACATGACCACCTGGAAGGAGTTGGACTTGTTCTTTGCCGGTGA